CTCTACTGTGATTCTGATTGCCTAGTCGAGCTGGGATGATGCGCTGTCCCCATGGCCTCCACAACCCTCATTTCTCAAAGGATGCACTGCTGAGCCAGGCGAAACTACTGGCTGTGATGCATTTTAGAGCCCAACCCTAAGCCCTGCTGCCCCACACCATACAATGTATCCCAGAGCTTCCTGCTGTCCGTGCTTCAATGAATGCAGGGTGCTGAGGAGTAGAGGGTGAAACCAAATTTCATTTCTGCTTTGATTCCTTCCCTGTTCCTTTTTCAGTTCCTTTCTCCCCCTCGGTGGGATGGGAGTGGAGCTGCTATAGGAAGTGCAAGTGTGTGCAGGAGGGGATTCCAGTGGGACCAATTAGAGATTCTAATACAGAGTGGTCCTCACAGCCAGAAGCTTTCTTTTGCAGCCCTGAGGTGGGGTAAAATACTGCACAGTAGTGGGCTCCTGTTTAGAATTATGTTCCTCACAAACAAAAGGAAGAGATCCACATATCCATGGTTCGTGTACATCCAAGCAAACCAATGTTCTATTGTTTATTAGAACGGCATTTGGCAGCACTGGGGTTTTTCCCTGTGTTCAGTCATCTCTACCGTCATTCACATGGACTGTTGTGTTCTCAGCACTTCTGCGTTTGCAGAATCAGAAGCAGTCGTAGAAATATCAGGAACTCCAAAATAGAATTATAACTGCAAAACATAATGTTTGCATGCTTTTTTGAAGTGATACATTTTGACAGAGGTTTGAGCTGAAACATTTGCTTAATTTTGTTCTTTATTTTTCCACCCTAGTTTAAATGGTGGTCACAGTGGTGTCCACTCTCTCTTGTCTGCCTCCATCTCTTGGCTTTTATTTAAGAACACATCTGTGGCACCTGACCTCTGCCTTTGTTGCAGCCTGCCAGGGAGACCAGAAGCAACTGAAAAGGTCACTCAGAGGATGTTGGAGTAATTGCAGAGCTTTCATTAAGCAAACCACTGGGTATCTGTCCCTGCAGGGTACTGGTGCTTGTCGATGGTGTGAAGAGAAGTGATATCTGAAGTGTGCCAAACTTTGTCTTGACCTTGTTGCTACATGGGTACACTACTGGGCCTCATTAAACAAAAGGAGGAGCAGGGATGGATGTGATTTCATCTCCAGGAGGCAAAGAAGGTGTAAGGACAGAAGTGGGAAGTGTGCAGTAAGTTTATACAATCCTGTAACTTTAATATTCTGGAACAGAACCCAGGAGGGGATTATCCTGAATTCCTCTTCTTGGGGTCATCTTGCACAGCTGAGACAGTCTGTTGTAACTTTGTTATCTTCAAGGCTGAGCAGTGGATCCCAGTCTGCTGCCAAATTCTTCAGGAGCTGGTAGACTCCTGCGCTGTGGAATTTCAATTTTCTTCAGTATGCTTTTTCGAACAATAATGAAGGTCACTAATCCTGTGGTAGAGAGCATTCAGGAGCTCACCCTGGAGTTGTTCCATTACTCTGTGCTGTCCCTTGGAAAATGTTTGGAGAAGGACTGGTTTGTAGTTAAAAAAATAGCCTGGAACTGACTTGCTTTCCGTTCTGATCTGAACTTCCCTGCATGTGTTACTTGACCTCAAGCCTCCGAGCATCCTTCAGTCTTGGCTTTCTTTACAAACCTACCTGTGCTTTGGGTAAGGACTGTATGTGGGCAAATGCAAGGAAAGCCCTTCGGGAGGTACTTTTGTAGACAGAAATCAGCCAGCATTCCTCCTAACCATCAGCAGAGTGACTGGGGTAACTGCACCAATGGGGCACACTTGCTGAAGGTTCTTTTT